CCTTCTTCAGGTGGTATTCTTTTGAACTTCGAACCGAACCCTTTAATTTAATCCATGGGGGCAGATTGTTCTAATTTCACGTGCTATGCTTTTTATATCTCAGTTTCAGTAAATTCCCCTTGGAAATACAACTCTTCTAAGTTTTTGTTCCCTCTGATGTGGTCAAGTATTGAAGTCGCAACTCTGTTGGTCAAGTCATTTTTGGATCGTTCAGCCAAAGCTTTTATCTTTTTTAGGTCACGTGTCTAATCTACCCACGTGGACGAAATAAAAGGGTTCAGTTTGAATTTCCTACTAAGACCGGGAAGTACAATGACTGAAACGTTGTGAATATGGCTATAAAGAGGAGTTCAACAGTCCGAACAATAGTCACAATACCTAATCTCAGAAATATAGACAAACATATTTATAAAATCTTTTTTCTTAAGACAGAGGATTATACCTCTCAAGATCACTAAGTGTTATCTCTCTTTCTAGTATTGATACGAGTTTCCTTCCAATCTTTTTGTTTTGGGTAATATGGAAAATTAATATCTTGATATATTATTTCGTTTCGAGTTACATGTGTTAACTTATTTTTGTTGTTGCTGCTGCGATATGGTTTTAGTTATTTGGTAAAGCTCTGTGTATCTGATTCTGTAGAGTCTGATTAATGATTGTCTTCTTTAAGACCTAAGTGATTCATTCACTTGTAAGCATTTTGAATCATTACTCTGAGAAAACAGCTGTATATAGAAAATATCTTAAACCCACCTGAACAAGTTGGACGACATGCAAGATATTAATATGATTGATTCGTTTTCGACGGCTTATCAACCCTTCGCAGATTATTTAAAAGCTGAAAATATTTTTATATTATAGATTTTTTTTCTAGAGATAATACTGATTTAGTGATACCTGTATTACTGAATAGCTCATAGTTGGGAGCGAAGAGAAGACGTGCATTCATACCTTTACTAAGCGTATCTGTGCGTAAGTGAATATAACGAACCCAGCTGGAATTGGAACTCGGCACCCCGATTAATAATTCAGTTATTATCCATTGCACCACCTGCACAGCCAGGTTAACAGCACTTTGTATTCCCAAGTGGTCACCCATCTAGGTACTGATCAGGTCCGACGTTGCTTAGTTTTGGTGATCGTTTTAACGTGATGGGTGCGTAAGCCTTACCAACCGCCCATTACACCACCTGGTATTCGTCACAAAAATTAGACAGCAGGCGTTTATCGGTTAATTCGAAGCAGTGCATAAAAAAATTAAAAAAAACAAAACTTCAATCGAGAGATCGTGTAGCATAACCAGGAAGAACTTGAGAATTACGATTATTACTATGAGTAATGGATAGCGGCCCGGATTGAGAAATCGGAGAGCCGAGTTCGAATTTCAGTCGAATCCATAACATTAACCCTTGGGAAAGGGTATGAATCCTTTTCTTCTCCATCCAGCTATGGGTAAATAGCAGGACAAACTGGGTTTTATAGCCTTGGACGGCAACTGGTCTACCACAGAAAGAAATGGCAACCTATTGTGGGAAAAATCTGCCTCGTCAGTCATGTATCGAAAGATACATGATCGTCCAAGCGTGTATCACGCATGGCACATAACTATGTATGCGTCTTCTCTTTCCATCTTTTTTTTTTAATGTTTGTTTCTTTGAATTTTTTAAACGATAATTTGGGCAAACATTTCTGATAGTCAGAGTTTATTATCTTTCAAATAATTTTCTCTGAGGCATGATTATTTTGTTCCAGTAACAAAAAAAAAAAAAAATAATAATAATCTTGCGCTTATTTTCTAAGATGAAAAATTTCCACTAGCATGACTTCCAGGCGGGACATGTATACAATATTTTAAATAAAAAATCTGCACGTAAACAAAGATAACAGCGACGGGGTTTCAGAGAAAATGAAGGATAATTTTATGGTTCGATTCCGGATTCTGTAACCGAAGATTTCTGTAGCTTAATCAGTAAAGCAGCTGTCACATTAACACCGGATACTCGAAAAAAAGATTGTTTCCAATTTCACTGTTTACGTAGGATGACCGGAGACGTTGCGATAAAAAGAAATATTTTTTATATTCTTCTTTTTTTTCACTAAAATTCGCCAGATACATAACCCAAGAGCCACTCAAGCTAGAAGTGTTACTGAACGTGATGTGCGATATAAACGTAAAAGGAGCAAATAGGAAGTGAAGAATTGGGGGATAGCGTGAATACATAACAACTGATACTATTTGTGAAGAGGTTAAGACTATTGTTGTAGGAGGCATCCAGGCGAGAGAGTGTTCAAAAAAGTAAAAATTCTTGGGTAATATATTCCAAGGTTTAACGCCCTTCTTAACAAAGAAATACGTGTGGTGATTCCACCCTGTGGATGTAATTGGTACTAAAGAATAGAGCTCGACAGAACATTTAGCAACAGAGTAATGATAGGCTTGTGGTGTTACCTCTGTGGAGAAAGAATTTATAGGGTCGAAATAAGTCACCCTCCTCGACAAGGCCACGAAAGTCAAAGATTAAATGTGGCTTATACAATTTAATGGTAATATTAATATTAGCAAGTCGATAACATTCGGTATTTATCGATCAGTCAACCACAGCTATTTTCGTTTGATATTTATAGTTTTTCTTTTAAGATATATTTTCAGGAAAATAGGTTTCGAAATCCAGTAACTGTTATTGTTCTTTCCTTTATTGATAGGGTTTCCCTTCCTAACATTTTGTTTGAAGTAGAATGGAATGTTGATATCTTATTTCATTCTTTTCTCTTAGTGCTATCCATTTTAGTTGTTGCCGTTACTGAAAGTCTTCAAGTAATGTGATTACTGTTATTTCGTAGAGTTTTTTGTGTGATTTTGTAGCACCAAACTACGTAGTTCAAAGAAGTATGATCCCCACTAAAACCTACCCGCTTCATACGTTCAAAGCCATTTTTAACAATTGAGCTAAGAAAGCGGCTGCGTACCTCTGACAGTTTAAATATTTCTGAAAAGGTTTGGCGTCATGCATGACATTCACATGAAAATCTCGAGAACATAAATTGAGTTTTTAGGTTAATGTTTCGGTTTTTTGTAGCAATTTGCAGAGTTAGCTGAAACTAACCCTAGTCCAGACTATTCTATATTCAATTATCTTACACAGTAAAATCTCTCATATCCGGAATCCCTCATATCTGATCCCGCATATCCGGACATGATTTTAATGTGTATATTTGAACTATTTGGGATAATATGGAACGGATTTGAAATTTGTTTTTCAGGAAATTTACTTTGGATAATTGCTGATGCTTATTTCACCCTAATGGTTTTATTGGTGCAAAAGATGATGGGAATAACAGGAAAGGATGATAACGAGACACACCTGCAACAAGATAGCGACGAGATGCATGACTGTGATGAAACCTGGACTGAAATTGAAAAAGCTACTGAAAAGGTTGTCAGTTTTATGGAAAGAAAGCCAGCATTCAGTTATGACGATTGCAATAACGCACGTAGAGTTTAAAAGTGTCTTTCGTTTAAAAAAAATCAAGAACAAAAAAAAAAACGAAATGCGGAAAAAGTTGAGAATGACATTAGAAGAGAAAGAATCATCATTCAACAGCTATTAAAAAAAATCATCGTTATATTATTTGTTTTGCAGAGGTTGCATACTTAATTTAATGAATTTTCATTAGCATTACATAATTTATTTCTTCTTCTTTAAAATCAGTTCAATAATATCTCACTCACCATTAGCTTATTTTGTTTATTATAAAACATGGAAAATAGATGTTTAACCTGAATTCAGTCCTTTTATTTTAAACTAAATACAACCTCATATCCGGACTTTGTAACCAATTCCTCATACATGGAAGGAATTCTTAGTTCAGTTGTAAGGGATTCAACTGTACTAAATTTCTTATAACTGGTCTATACGCTAGAGTATTTGAAGTGTTTAGTATTTATTAATTTCATGTACTGAATTTTATGAGAGATTCAGGGTATGCGCCATCATTGTTTTTATTCAAATAAATCTTTCCAAAACAGAAAATTTTATCTTGGAACTCTTAGTAGAGGAATTTTTTTTTTTTGTTCAAGATCATTCATTTCCCAACTATGAGTACCTATGTCATTAGTACATTGATTTTGGGAGGAAAAGATAATATTGACTATTTGGATTTCTGAAGTTCCATCATCAGGAAACGGGATTGGATAATTGGAAAATAACCCTTTAGACATTCCCAAAGGTATGATTACTATTACGACATAATTTACCATATTATAGTAAACGACAACTTCTCCCAGAAATTCAGACATTATACAGCAATGTCTTACGGAATATGAACAATCGACACCAATTTTAGTTATCTGACAACGTTACTTAACCTGTCATTCCCAACAGAGAAGAATTTATAAATGCACTAAACAAGGATGAAGACATTTTTGGACTCATTACCATCTCGAATGTTGTACTGACAAAATAGAATTCAAAAGGAAGAATAAAACTTTTGTAAATCTATTCATGATTCCGAGGTCAAAGTGACATAAAGAAAGGCAGGAACAGATAAGACACGTGCACAGACTGGCAAAAAGAAAGTTCGGCCTAAAGGGAGAAAATTCTGTTACCGTTAATACTGAAGCTGAAAGATTATCGCCTTACAATGACAGCCATGAAATAACAGTGAACATTCTGAGTTTAGCACAGAAAATACAGGGAAAAATAGAAAATTTACGATACATGGGATATACTAGATTTCATATACAGACTTAAAAAAGCGTTAGGATGAAATATAATTAACGATAATCAAAACATTTAAAAAAAGAAAAATATGAGAAAAAAGAGAAAAGAAAAATATGAGAAAAAAGAGAAAAGAAAAATATGAGGAAAAAGAGAAAAGAAAAATATGAGAAAAAAGAGAAAAGAAAAATATGAGAAAAAAAAAAAAAAAAATGAGAAAAAGAGAAAATAAAATATGAGAGAAAAAAAAAAAGAAAAAAGAAAAAAATGAGAAAAAAAAAATTAGAAAAAAGAAAAAGGAGAAAAAAAAAAAAAGAAAAAAAAAAGGAAAAAAAGAAAAGGAGAAAAAAAAAAAAGAAAAAAAAAAAAAGAAAAGGAAAAAAAAAAAAAAAGAAAAGGAGAAAAAGAAAAGGAGAAAAAAAAAAAGGAGGAAAAAAAAGAAAAGGAGAAAAAAAAAAAAAGAAAAAGAAAAGGAGAAAAAGAAAAAGGAAAAAAAGAAAAGGGAAAAAAGAAAAGGAGAAAAAGAAAAGGAAAAAAAAAAGGAAAAAAAGAAAAGGAAAAAAAAAAAAAAGAAAAAAAGGAGTTCAAAAAAAGGAAAAAAAAAAAAGAAAAAAAAAAAAAAAGAAAAAAAAAAAAAGGAAAAAAGAAAAGGAGAAAAAGAAAAAAGGAGAAAAAAGAAAAGGAGGAAAAAAAGAAAAGGAGAAAAAAAAGAAAAGGAGAAAAAAAAGAAAAGGAGAAAAAAGAGAAAAGGAGAAAAAAGAGAAAAGAAAAATATGAGAAAAAAGAAAAGGAGAAAAAAAGAAAAGAACAAATGTGAGAAAAAAGAGAAAAGGAGAAAAAAGTGAAAAGGAGAAAATAGAGAAAAGAACAATTGTGAGAAGAAAAGAAAAATTGTGAGAAAAAAAAGAAAAGAAAAATATGAAAAATAAGAGAAGAAAAATAGGAGAAGAAAAATAGGAGAAGAAAAATAGGAGAAGAAAAATAGGAGAAGAAAAATAGGAGAAGAAAAGACAAAACAATACGAGAAAAAAATCGCAATAATAGAGAAATTGGAAAAATTGAGAAAAAGAAGAAATGGAAAAAAAGATCAAAGTAGAAATGGGGAAAAGAATGAAGGTGTTTCGTAAACGATGGTTTTGATGATTGCCTCAGAAGTGTTCGCTGGAAGGAGTGTTTTCTTTCACTCAGTTTACACACGAAATTAAAAAAATAAATTAACGTGGGTGGATATCGCATGTTTTTGCTGCGCGAGATGCTGAAATCTGTCAGGTAAAATTTTACATTTCAAAGTCAACTTTTCAGTCCAGCCCAGAGATAACGTTTTAGTTTTGCAGACTTTAGAGAGGGAAAGGATATTTGCCTCCAGCAGACGTCAAGAAGCATCATTCTTCAGTGATGTGCCGTTAGAAATGCATTTTTATGTAATCGGAAGTGCCAAAATAAACACTACTTGCATAAATTGTTCATAAGCTTGCAATCTGTTAAATTGCTTTTTCGTGAAATTAGATTGAATTAAAATTAATTCTTTATGAAGTCTGTAAATATTCATTTTTAAATTTTTTTTTATTTATACTTAGATATTGACCTATCGACATAATCTTAGATTGATGCAAATTCAGTAGATACGATTAGAGACAAATTCCTGCAGTAAAACATCGGCAAGATCAATGAGTACTATTGAAGTGCATCATTTTTCTCCATAAATTATAACAATGATTTAAAATCACTATTTTCTTTAAAAAAATGTGTTGCACGCAGCAAGGCGCGGGTAATTCGGCTAGTTGTGAATAAACATAATAAACAAAAATAAATGAGCTTAAACTTGCATAAATTCACAATAATGGAATACGGAGGATAGAAATCTATAAACCCTCAACTGACTCAATAACCATCGCTAACCACTAGGATTTCCAAATCGTTCAGTACCGAGATGGTGGAATGACGCAAGGGACGATAGGTGGGCGATTAGAAAAATAAATGATAGCAGTGTGCCGATTGGGTGATATTAGAACCAAGTAAAAAAATTTTTTAACAAAATCTCTATGACGAAAATCACTTGCACTTACGGGAAACGCTTGCTTTACAAAGAATAAAATTAACGTCAGAGTTATTCACATACGCCTGGTTTTATTTTGATGTCCCAAAGTTACAAGTCCAAACGTTTGTTTGTATCTTGATGATATGCCAGACGTATGCTATTCAAACTGCCGACGTCTGAAGAGGCCATGTTTTGTGGCATCTTATCTAATGACATCTCAAAAAAAAAAAAAAAAAAAAAACGAAATGCATAGTATACTATAATTATTTTTAATTTACAATCTATATAATACCAAGAATTATGTGTCTTCATATGCGAGATTTTGTGAGATCTTTTGAAATTTTTATATAACCGGTTTCATGTCAAAGCTCCACACACACGCACACACACACATATATATATATATATGAATTGGATTGTCTGATAATTATTTCATATATTTTCTGTTTATACGTTATTTTTATAGATATAATTTATCTAAGAAAATGCTCTTTTTTAAATTAAACACTATTACATTTACTGGCCTGATTGTTCGAGAAATTTCGTAGAAAATATGTACTCTTCTGACAGGAATTGAACCTGTAAATCTTATTGGAGACATATAGCCTGACGAGCCGTTACCATTCAATTACAGAGAAGTGTCATATTAAGCAAATTCCGAATTACTGTTTACAAACATACACCTTCGACGATTTTTCTCGATCGATTATTTCTGCTCACGAAACATATCTTAACTTAAACAATGAGCAATTAAAAACAGAGTGTTTACTTAAATAAATTATTTCTATAAAAATAACGTATAAACAGATATATTAATAACTGTCGGACTTAATCCATTTCCTAATATGTTGCCATGCTATCAACAGTAATTCGAACTTTGCTAACCAAGACACTTCTGTGACTGAATGGTAACGGCACCTCAGAATTTATGAGGGTTTCGATTCCTCTTGTAAGAGCTCATATTTTCTACGAAATTTCTCGAACATTCTGCCGGTTAATGTTATATATCTAATTAAAAACAAAGCATCTACTTAAATAAATTATATCTATAAAAATAACGTATAAATAGCCTCTGTCTGTGTGTGTGTGTGTGTGTGTGTGTGTGTATATATATATATATATATATATATATATATATATATATATATATATTAGAAAGGGTCTTCGTGTGCTTCTTATAATATGTAAAATATATAGCTATAACTCTCTTCATCTATGTTTACAGCCTTATTCCCGACACTAATAATAATAGACCTGTCTAACGCTTTTACACCGATCAAAATTTTAAATTTAAGCTTATTTTCATAAAAAAAGTTTCGCACAGCGAGGAATCAGACACATATCGGGTATTTGCTAATAATCTGATTTCCATCGTAAAATACTGCTATAGAGTAGTTTCACAGTGGAGGCTTGTATTTCACTAAGTCGGTCCAAAAAGGTTCGATGTACAAAACGTTAGGAACTTGATATAATAGTAAATGACGCAGCAATCTAGTTGTGGTGTCTGATACTTTAATATCCGACTAACGGTCGTCCGACATCGACTGACTCACCAACTCACTCAGTGACTGCTACTACTACTCCTACTTATTATAGGTGGGATATAGAATAGAATAGGTGTGTTCCAGTATAACAAATACACTGTCTACAAAAACATTTGCCGGTAAGTAATTCCTGTTTCTCTGCTTATTTCTCGCTCCATTGATGAAGGACACAGGTGTGTAAGAAAATTCCGAACTTAAAACCTTTCTTTCCGTGCGTCATTTCTGTCATATAATAATTAATATTTAATAAATGTTTATCGTACTGATTTTATTGCTACCCTTCCGTTTGTCCTTCTTTTATTAACTAACCTATATATATATATATATATATATATATATATTTCATTTTAAACAAGGCGATAACACCATTAAGATGCAAAGAGTTACTGGGAGTGAAAGAGAAAACATTAGAAGGAATCGGAAATCCAATTCGAAACAGAAAAAAAGAGATAAACCTCTACGCCTTTATTCACTCCAACTAAAGTGATAATGCTACTAAGATACAAAGGGCTACTGGAAGTGAAATAGAATTAGAAGACTTTATAAGGAACCAAAAACCCAATTCTAAGCAGGAAATAAGGAATAAACCTCTTTTCCTGTTCGATAGACTGGGAATGAGTTTGAAGCGGTGATAATTTGAAACACCCCAATCATCTTATTATTTCGAGATGTGAATTTATAAATCTTGATTTCTTGCAGTTTTCAAGCAATATATATCAGACTGCTATTTTAGAATTACTTGGCACCCAATGGAACCGAATAGCAGACAAAAGTAATGCCAGCAAAAAGAGTTAAATTGACATATATTGACGTAAAGCTATTTTGCAGCATTTTAAAAGTAAAAGACATTTTATCATTGCGAAAGAAAAGAAACATAAATGTACGTCAATTAAAGAGAAAGAGGAGAAATCAAGATGAATGGGATTGTGTTTTCATTTTCTACACAGCTGGATCTACGAATGTGGCTTCCAAAGCTTTTAGAAAAAAATCAATATGGATAAGAAAATATGGGGAAAAAATATCAGCCGCCATATTTCGCCCGGTAAAGAACAATGGAAAAAAAGGAAAGAAAATGCAAGGAAGTTTTAAATCAGTTAGTTTCTGACGTCAAAAACAAATGTGACAATTCGTAGGCTTTTCGCGCATTTTATGTATTTTTAATCAGACATGTTTGAGTTTCTAACTTTTGTTATTTTAACATACTGCAAAATAGAGTGTAGGGAAACACGATAGGCGTATTTAGATCGTATTTCGTGAGAAGATTTACTTTATATATGTATAGGATTAATACAAATAAGATTTGTCACAGCTGATTGATGTTATATTCAGCACCCCGACTCCAGATATTCAGAGACGAGCATTTCTATAATTGCTCCGTCCACTCTTCAGGAGGTTTCAGCAATCGACTCCCGTTTTTTCGAAATTTTAATTACCTTTAAACTAAGTGTATATATATATATATTATATATATATATATATATATTTATGTGTGTGTGTGACCACAACAATTTCTGTTCTTGACAACCAAGAACACTAAATACTTATTCTATATTTAATAACACCCTCATGATGACATGCTATGTCGAAAGGACTCGAAATAATATAAGCCAACACAGTGATTTCCTCTCGTCATTTAACAACCGCACATAAAAAGAGTATTTGCGAATATGAAAGGATCTTTTCAAAAATAAGTAGACAGAACGTGCCTAAATTATTTGACGAAAACTCTCTCTCTCTATATATATATATATATATATTATTGTGTGTGTGTCTAATATGTATGTATATATTTAATTTTCTATATATATTATTTATATATTATATATGCGCGGTACTTCTTGGAAAACGCTCAATTTCAATGATAGAGCTAAATATTTAGTTGTATACAAACTCACATCAAAACAACTAAGTGTATATATATATATATATATATATATATAGCGTGAGGCCAGAAAGTCTGTTTTCTGACTATTCTGCCAGCGAGCACAGCTCATAGCAACTTTGGGAAGTGCCTGAAAACACTAACACGGCTTAACCCAAACACTGGAAGGGAATCCTGAAAAAGCTGTCGATTGTCGTACAAGCACGAACTGGTAGGCCAAAGATTTAAACGTTTTCACCTTGTTTCCTACTTAATCATGTAAAATTATGCCTTTCCTCCCACAAACTGTAACTAATGTCCGCTCAGTATAGTTGCAGTATAAATCACATAGCCTCATTTTATTACAGTTGCCTGCTAAATCAACAGAACACAAACCTGTGCTTTGTGGACTGTGAAGGCGTCTGTTGTACGGTTTGACTAGCCGTTCAGGTAGACGGGTGTGCTCGGAAAACGAGTAATCACCGGTGATAATATAATAATAATGAACTCTCATGTTGTTTTCGACTTATGAGGGTTCAATAGTATTTTCTGTTTGAGTTGTGTTTTCGATCACTTCTGAAGATAGCTTGTGGCCCACACAAAATCCTACATACAGGACAAGGAACAACACCCCTGGTGAAGGCTGCAGTAATGTTAGAATGGTTTAATCTGATTTGTAATATTTTTTTCCAATTGTTGTAATTCTCAAAAGTTGTATTGTATTTTATGGATACATTTTCCTACAAGACACGATCTTCAAAGGACGTAAGACGGACGTCAACAGAATTTAGGT